AAAAAAAAAAATATTTTATACATTAAACCCCCCCCCCCAAACCCCCACCCCCAAACCCCCCCCCCCAACCCCCCCCATTTTTTTCCTTCTTTCCCCCCCCCCCCCCAAACTGAACTGAAAATCTATAGACTCGAAGGTAAAATAAATAAAAACTGGGTATATGTGACTTTCCTACCAACGTTTCGTCACAACAAAATATCAATGCAGATTGGAGATAAAACAAAATTAGCACATTTAAAAAAACATAAAAAATCAGCCAATCGCACTCTAAGTATTGGAATCTCTAACCGAAGTTCTATTTAAATTAATGTTGCTACCTTTGTTTGCTGTCCTAATGTAAAACGTGAATTTTAAAAATAATTAAACATTTTTTGGCGCTGTATATCACCCATACGCCAGTCAATGTCTCGAATGCCAGCCAAAGGAAGCCACGGAACATTGTATTCAACAAACAGCTTATGTCTTGTAAAGGACTGAGTACCGGGACAGCTACCGTGATCGTGCCGGGAGCGAGGAGAATCATGAGAAGGAGTGAAACACGCAGAGTCGAGAAATGAACGATTTTCCCCTGCTTTTCCCTTTTCTCGTGTTCGAAATGACCCGTGGTTGTCCGCCCTTACACAAATATATATATATATCAATTAATTGCCCTCAGATAGTGTCCATTACTCGCCCCCCCCCTCCTCCACCCACCCTAAAACACAACCAGCTTCTTCAAATACGTGCACCCCTCATTGTTGTGTTCACGCTTTCTATTTATTTTATTTGTATTGTTTAAATGGATTAGCCGCGACGTTTTCAGTGAGATTCCTATTACGCATTTTGGTGCGAAGCAACTTCTCGAAAACGCAGAGAACTTCCCGAAGATCTATGTTGTACCCAACCCATCAAAACGTCTGAGGCAGGAAGTAAAAGCGACCCGGTTGGGTTGATCGTAATACTGATAAACTGAGAGAATTATTATTTACCGAGGACAATGTGTATTGAAAAAAAAAAAAATCAAACTTTGCAAAGGTCTAGGTTGAGTTTGTCTTGAATGTTTAGAATCAATAGGAAACATAACGCGTACAACAAAACGAAATCCTTCTTTAACCTAAAAGATCAATACGCAAAGAATAGGGGGGAAAAAAGTGCTAAGCCAAAAATGTATGATCATGAATTTGAAGATTGTCAACAGCAGACTGTTGCGGACAGATATGAATTAATTAAAGTGCACGCCACCCGCGTAGTCCCAGTTGATGGAGCTTAGATGGTCAAGGCCAACGCGATCCAGTAAAGCACTTAACTTTTTTAAACCCGTGAATTCAGGCCGACGGACACATAAACATGGCAGAAACGGCAACAGCTCCCCCGGCAATGCAGACTCGAGATTTTATTTACATAACATCTGAACTTGTCGTCGGCTTCGTCAGCGTGTTCTCCAACTCCGTGGTGTTGGCGGTCATCTGCCGGACGCCGCGACTCCACACGGTCACCAACGTTTTCATGGGAAATCTGGCTTTAGCCGATGTCATGGTTGGCATTTCAGTAGCTCCGTGCGCGTCGCTTTCATACGTGGGGCTACCTCACAACTTTTACGGCTGTGTGTTCATCAACAGTATTCTTTTGATGATCACGAATGTTTCCATTCTCATGCTGCTCGCCATTGCTATCGAGCGCTTCATTGCCATCAAAGAGCCGTTTTTGTACGAGAGGGTACTGACCATCAGGCGGGCCATTTTTGTCAACATCTTTGTGTGGGTGCTTGGGCTATCGCTCGGAATGGTGCCACTGCTCGGGTGGAACACTGGCTATCACGAAATTGAATACTGTAAATTCCTTGACGTAATGACTCTCGAATACATGGTGTATTTTCAATTCTTTGGACTCGTCCTGCTGCCAATGTCCATCATGTTATTTATCTACCTTTACATCATTATCATAATCCAAAGACACTTGCGCAAGTCGGACGCTCTCGGCGAACAGCTGCATGGAAAACATTTAAAAAGTCTCTTTAAAAAAGATGTCAAATCTGCAAAGTGGCTGGCGATGGTGAACTTGCTATTCGGAATCTTCTGGCTACCCATCAACATATTGAACTGTATTAGTCTTTTCTGTCCGCAATGCCAGTTTCCCATATTATTCTTGCTGGCGGCGATCGTCATGAGTCATGCCAACTCTTGCATTAACCCTTTCCTGTACGCGGCCAGCAACAGTCGGATAAAACGGGCCATCAAAGAGATGATCGGGTTGAGGAGTCCCTACGAGAGACATTTTTCGGATGCACAGTATCTCCGACCCACGATTGAGGGTGACATGAGCCCCGACATTGGTCGCTCGCTCACTTCACCGGACCAAACGTATCACAGCCGGCGAGAGTTTGACAGCTCCCAGAAAATTCCATGAACTCAAAGGGCGCACCGGGGTGGGGGGAGGGGGCGTTTCCTAAGTTGAGATGGTCTGGCTGCTCGGAAATCGTCGAAGGTGTGGATCAGAAGCTGCGTGCCAACGAAGAGGTCGCGGCAGAAAACCAGCACAAGAGAGACGCGATCTTTGGTGAGGTAGGTGATGCTACATGCCACGATCCCCCCAAAAAAAAATAAATGAATAAATAAAAACAACAACTCGTCATTGTATAACTTCCCCCATGTATCACTTCACTATGGTATATATTCACCATTGTATCACTTTACCATTGTATATCTTCACCATTGTACGACCTCGCCATTGTTCGACTTCACCATTGTACCACTTCACCATTGTATCATCGTATTTAATTATTTAAATCATTTTACGAACACTCCTTTGATATAAATAGATTTCAATCTTTGTAAACTCCTCCGTGGCCTACACCTGTTAGAGTCAAACCATGTTAAAAAAAAAAAAAAGAGGGTGGGAAGAAGAAAAATCCTTGTACTTGAACTTTAACAAATAAAAATGGAATGATCTCAGCCCTGACTTTAGGACTCTACTTCCCCAAGTAGAGAAATGAAGTCTTGTGGTCAAAGTCAGGTTATTCGGAAACCCTCAAAGCCGACGACCCTCCTTACAAAGCTAACGAGCAAAGGTTTGTGGAATGTGAGAGCCATGTTTGAGACACTGGAAGTGGCTCAGTTTGCAGCAGAAATGAATAAAAAAAACAAAAAAACTTCAAGTCTGTTAAATTAATTATTGACTAGAATAAATGACCCAATTTTATCGGTATAATAATGGTAGGCCCTTTGCGATAATTTCTAACTGCCATTGCCAAAACTCATCACAATTCATAACTTTAAAAAAATGTAATGATATTTAAGTTTCTAACATTATTAAGTTTTGAGAAGTATTATCTGCTATATATTATATGCCTACCCTACTCCCTTTCATGCTCCTAAACTACCTTTTCCCTCACTAAACATGACCTTAAATTACCCAGTCTAAATTATCACTAATTATATCACTTTTGTCACCAAAGAAGTTAATTAAGGGACAATTACTACGCTAGAGAAATACTATAGATTTACCCCTTTTCGTGCCCTTGAATTACAACTTTTTTCTCTAAAAATGGTTTAAAAAACCTAATCTTAAATTTACAACAAAAACTATATATATGATATAAACATATTTTATATTACAGAAATTCGATATATATTGATATCTTCATCAAAACTATAAACACATTTTTGCCTTTAAAATATATATATATATATATATATATATATATATATATATATATATATAATATAAAAAAATCATAAAAAAAAAATTTTTTTTTATCTATCTCATAAACAGTTTTTACATATATAAAAAAAAAGAATGTTTTTATAAAAAAAAAAAAAAAAAAAAAAAAAAAAAAAAAAAAAAAAAAAAAAATGTTAATCTCATAAAAATATACACCTCTTTATTTTTCGCAAAGTAAAAAAATATATATATATATATTCATTTTTTGAAAGTAAATATTTATCCATCTATATTTTTCAAAATTAATTTTTCAAGTGTGTAAAATGATTGGGTTTTGATATTCATGGGTGTACTTAAGAAATGTACCCAAGATTTGTTAACGCCATTGATTCTCTTAATTGGTAAACATATATTTATTTGTAAAAAGAGAATTTAACATATCTTTTTTCACAAATGTAATACCATAGGATTTAAATATATTGTCATACAGGTAAAAATGTACACATCCTTTTTTCCTATCTCCGATATATATATGTACCCAAGAAGGTTAATTATTAATCAAATTCATTCCTTTATTTTGAGGTGTATCTTGTTTTGCCTTGGGCAACATGAACATACACATATTTGTAAAAAGATAATTTGAAATCTCTTTTGTGACTAATATATTACCATAGAATTTAAATATATTGTTGTCCACATAAAAATGTGCACATCCTTTTTCCTATCTCCGATATAAGTATGTACCCAAGAAAATTAATTATTAATCAAATTCATGCCTTTGTTTTGAGACGTATCTTGAATTGCTTTGGGCAAAATGAACATACTCATATTTGTAAAAAGAGAATGTAACATCTCTTTTTTCACAAATGTAATACCATAGGATTTAAATATAGTGTCATCCACTTAAAAATATACACATCCTATTTCCTACCTCCGATATGAATGTACCCAAGAAGGTTATTTATTTATCAAATAAATTCCTTTATTTTGAGACGTATCTTGTGCTGCCTGGGGCAAAGTGAACAACCCCTCTCCCACCCAGATTTAAATAAATTTAGAAAATCTTCCACTGGATTGTAGTCCCTTCCAAGCCCAGACTAACATATTTTCCACTTCATATGGTTCGGTCTTATTTGGATGACTTATGAGTGGATTAGTGGTGAATGATGTTTGGCTTAGTGTTGCGCTGCACTGATTGACCGCATTTTCTTATTAGAATTATATTTTAAGTGTAGTTGTTATTACGTTATAAATTTAATTAAAGTATATTTTTGGAATAAAAAATGGCAAAACTTTTTAAATGTTAAAATACACAAAGCAAAAATGTGTGTGTGTTTTATTAACAATTTAAAAAAGCATTCAATTGTATTATTAATTTTACTTTTAAGAAGGGAAAATACATTTGTGTTTTGTCACGCGCGGTTATTAAATTGAAAGAAAACTAAGAGCTTTGGCGAAATAGGCTATTCGCGCTATTACGTCATTTGCGTGATTATTTAAATTAATTTTAATTTTATTTCGCAATATTAACAACACACCAAAAGACGTACTGAAAAACGACTCATGTTTGGGTTTTCCCGATAAATGTGATTACGGTGTAATTCTTTTATCATGATTTTTTTTCCTCATAACTTTCAAACACATTTAAAATGACTAAAAGAGTTCCTTACTTGATACTTTAAATGTATTGTAATTGATAATAATAATACTTAAACTTTTACTAAAATAAAAGCAGATTTAAAATATTTTTTGCGCATTTAAATTTATTCGATTTCCGTAAAATAATAGAACATAACTATGATTGCATTTAAGAATCCGACCGTATCTAAATAGTTTCGGCTCTTTGGCGTTATGTCACTATAGCTCATTCTTTTATATATATATATATATGAGAAGTGTGTTTATGTTGTTTTGTTAGCAAGAAACTTTAAGCGTTGAGAAAAAAGTGACAAGTTTATTCTCAGATCACAGGACCAGGTATCATCCACCTTTTATCCTCCCCCATCTAATTCTCGAGGACCTGTTCCTAGCTTTAGATTCTGGCAGTAGCGTAGCTAGGGGTGGTGCCGCTCCTCACTCCACAACAAACCCATTAAAACTGTACAGGTGGTTGAAAATGCCGCCCCCCCCCCCTCAATATATAATAATAATAATAAAGTTCATTTCAAAAGCACGCTTCATCCCCAAAGGCTCGAAGCGCGGTACAAAGTCAACAAAAAAATATCTATAATTTACCACATTTAAAACAAACGCAACACTACAAAAACTAATTACAAGCATACAATCTCAAAGTCTTTCTAGCCATTTCAACCATAAGCAACACAGCCATTATGCATTGAATGGAAAATAAGGTAGACAATCATCCCAGAAGGTATTTGCGAAATAGATATGTCTTTAGATCGGTTTTAAAGGACTCCAGTGTCTGGTTGTTTCTGAGATCGTCAGGAAGGGCGTTCCAAATTGTTGGACCAGCAAATGCGAAAGTGGGCTTTCCGTATAGAGAAAATGCCGCCCCCCCCCCCATAACGCCTTCTCCGCACCCTCTTCGTGTGCCCCTGGTTCCTGGATAAACATATCACAGCTATAAAACACCCCAACCTCCGGTCGTCTACATACAAAAAAAAAAACAAAAAAAACTTCGTGGGCCCCCGGTTCCTGGATAAACAAATCACAGATAAAAAACACCCCAACCTCCGGTCGTCTACAAACAAAAAAAAAACAACAAAAAAAAAAAACAACAACAACAACAAAAAACACAACATACCAAGACATTCCATAGCTTGATATTCGGGAAAAAAAATCGCGACCGGGCAGGTGTTTTTTGTTTGTTGTTGCTTTGGTGGCCCGTGAACGAGTTGCCAATAGGCTTTTGGAGAAACGTTGCTCCACGCTTAATCAGGGGGTGAAAAGAAAAGATGGTTTGTGAACATTTCTTCTTCTTCTTCTATATCTTAAGGGCCCACGGATCGATTTGTTGATCATTCTGGCTCCTATGCATGTAGATGGGATTTGCAATGTTTCTGTGCCTGGTGTTGATGAGGAAATTTTCTCTGATTTCCAGTGCCACTTTGTGAGGGAATCATGCACTAGGGGTTTGAAGGCTTGAGGCAATAGACACAAATGTGTCTGGTGTTGTCGCCTCAAATGTTCCTTTTGAATTTAGATAGGATAAGATAAGATTCTTTTAGTGATCCCAATGAATGGAAATGTTACGTTGCATTCAGCCAATTTTAGCGCATACATACATTAAACATCCTAACCACGACACCATTTTAGCAACTAGAAGAATTGGAACACAAACACCTGAAGTAATTCTCTAGCTAAAAAACAGCCATCAAAAACCAAAAAAAAAAAAAAAAAAAACTGAGTTCAGTAATGACGACAATGACGTAATTAGTGTTCATCTAGATTTCGTAGCCGCTGTGAGAGATCGCTGGTTAATTCTAACCAACTGGGGAGGAAAATTTTTTTTTTTTAAATTTTCTTTCGGTCATAACTTTAAGAGAAAGAATTCGCGCTGGTCGAACTGATCTTAGGTACATTTGATGAAGAGGGTGGAGTGTATCCTCCAATTTTTAAAAAAAAAATTAGTT